TGTTTGAATGGGCTAAAAAAAAAATAATAATAATGAGGGATGATTCTTCCCTGTACTTGCTGGGAATTGCCTAGAAACCACGGGGAGCTTAGGCAGGGTAGTCATGCTGCAACCACTGAGACTCCACAGAGTCCAGTACCAGGTACTAATTGCAATTACTGCTGGGAGAACTCTGAATAAGAGCAGAATTAAAAAAAAATACATTGTGATCCTTTCTTGCCTTTTCTCTTACTTAGATGGCTTGTTTTTACAACCACTGATTAGATTTGAGCTCAAAATAAGCTAAAAGCTATGGAATATCATCAAAATTAAGGATGGCAGTGGTTGCAGTATTTTCAGTGCAGCTGATTTTGTTCATGAGTTTGTAATATGACTAAATGGAGGATTGAATTAGTTGATGATTAAAATAAGTGGAAGCCACTGTATAACAGTGCTCAGCATAACGGGTACCTGTGTGAAATTTTGGTTTCTCAGCCACCCAGTTCCTTCGTCCCTTTAGGGATATTTTCATGGTCTGAGTAGCCTGGGCTGATTATCACCCTCAGATTTACAGCTGCCTTTCACTGCCCAGAGTTTCTCATTCCTTATGCATGAGCACTAGGAATTTTGTACCTGTTTTTCAGCTGTGGCAGGAGAGCATCAAAGTTACCAGCAGCATAATCTCCAGGGTAAACAGGGCCAGTGTATTATGCTCACTGTACCATTTAACCCTGCTGGAGGAGATGACTGTAAATTGCCTGTGTCGAGCCAGCGTGCGAGGACTAATAGAACTGCAGTGGGGATAATTCATGAGTAGATTTTCTCACTTGCCAGTGTAAACAGAGTTAGGGCTAGTCAGGTCTGAAACGGTGATTACTTTTTTAAAACAGCATGTTATAATTCAGTGTCCCGGGTTGAACCCTCCTTCCAGCACAGGAAAACAAACCACCGCACACACGTGTCCAGCACATGGACATTGTAGGCTGTGCAACTAACAATGCATATGAAGGGCCGCTTTGTTTTTCTAGGAGCAAGATTTGGAGGGAGCTCTTTAACTGAGGATCGAAAAGGGTGATTTATGGAAAAAAAAAACCACCACCACAACAACAACAACAACAAAAAAGATAAATCGATTTCACAATCCTTCCTATGAATGCAGAGTAAAGAACAGTTTTACCAGGGAGTTAATTTAGAGGCCTTAAACACTGTCCTTTTCTGTGTCAAATCCCTCCACCAAACTTGCTTCTTTTGGGTTGTGACACTAATCTCTCCACACTGCTCCTGTCTGCTTGTTCCTTGCACCTAATCACATTAAACACGACGTAATTAAACACGACATAATACATCTAGGGTACACACTGCTGGCAGATACCTCTCCTGAATTCACCGCCAATGAGAAAAGCACTTTTCCTTTCCCTGTGGTGGTGCCATTCATCAGTACCTTCTTCTGACGAGTTTAATTTACAAACTCTAGATGTAACTGTAAGGGCGAACGTTTACCCCAGGAAGTGGCAGTTTGAGAGGTGGGGATGTGGGGTATTCAGTGGGTGCATCTGTGGTCGCTTGAAGCCCATACAGGTACAGACCCTTACCCAAAAGGGGATGGTCCTGTTCTGCTGCTCTATCCCTCACTGGCCATTTCCTGATTCCTTTTTTTGTGTTGGCATCAGCATTCACCCAGCAAACAATCTGACTTTTGCCCCTGTGCGCAGAGATCTGGTCTGGCTCGTCTGTGCCTCCACCGTGTCACCGTCCGCCTGTGTGGACAAGACGGGCAGCAGGAAGGAGCCGGGGCCGCGCTCCCGTGGCTGCTGGATCGAGACGGGGCTGGGATTGCAGCAGGCAGCGACTCTCAGGGCAGTCCCCAAGACCCACGGGGCTGCTGTGTGGGGCCCCCTCGATGGGCACGTCACCCCAACACGGCTTTGACCATGAAGCATTGTCCTGGTGCTGCTGGGAAGAGTCACGTAAGGATGCGTGGCTCTGCGTGAAGTGTTAATGGTTGTAGATTTGTGCCTGGCTCAGATGGTTTTCTGGGCTGAAGTTACACGCGTGGCTCTGGGCTGTATGACCGCACAGGGAGGGGGAACCACCTCCACACACACCACCACCCCCCCACCGTCCAGGTTCCCCAAGGGGCTGACTGCAGGCAGGAGGAAACACCCCCCCTTATTTTCCAATTTCAAGACTGTGTGTTTTTCCTCTTACTGTTCAAAGTAAGAGCTGGCCAAGAGCCTACCCACAGTCAGTAATGTCTTTAAAGAGAAGCAGAGAAAAAAAGGGATGAGTAGCGGAAATGCAAAACTCGTATTGAGAAAGCAGCATCTGTCCAGGTTTGGGTCACCAAAGCATGACTGTGTTTTCTTACAGTTAAGAGATTAGCATCTTTATTATTAATAAAACAAAAAATCAGGTTTTGTTCTTGCAGGTTTCAGAATGAGTTCTTTGTTTTCCCAGTCAAAACTGAGGAGACAGATCAGTAAACACGTCCTTTATAAAATTTTACCTAAGTGTTAGCAAGTTTAACAAGCCTATAGCTTTAGCATTGATATGCTAGACTTGTAATGGCTTGTGGAGAAGCATTACGACTTGGTGTGCCAAAGTCTGCTTAGGGAGCTTCAACCCTGTTGCCAGAGCAGCCGTCCTGCTCAGAGGTTGTGGTAGAACCTGGTGCTGAGAGGGGAAATTTAGAAGGAAGCCAGTCCCCCATCCTTGTTGACAGAGCAGCTTTTATGAGCTACCTGGCAATTGCTGTGCAGTTGCTCAGCCCCTAAAGGGCTTGATTCACATTACAAACTTGATGATAAATTCTTAATGAATAGGTAGAGCCCAATACTGGTCTGAGGATGTTCTTGAGGATGCTTTTCAGGTGCGTTGCTTATGGATACAGCAGTCTGTAACCATTTTGCAGTCATTGTGCCTGCCCTTGTACAGTATTATTAAACAAATTTTTGGGTAGGGAAGTAGTGGTCTAGAGAGGGAGTAAAGTGTGGAATGTATCAGTCTATGTGCTGAACCCCCAGTCCTGCCAAAGCAGATGTTTGGTGTTTTAGATCAGTGCCCTCCAGGAACTGAAAAGACGCTAAACATCCAGGCTTCAGTTGTAGAAGACCAAAGTAAAGAAGCAGCATTAATACCAATACATTAATTTTGGTTTGTTTTCTGACTGTAGTCTTCAAACTATGCTTACCTGAAACCAACCTCTCATGTTAAACATGAGGTTTGGGAATGACGTATGTGGGTCAATCTTTGGCTCAGAAACTTTGTTTTACACTTAAATCCTTGACAAGGTAGAATTTGCAACAGGGAGTTAATCAGCCTCTGCAGCGACTCTGTACACACAGTCATGCCCATCCAACAGTCATGTTTAAAAGGCTGGTCTGTTGAATTACTTGTTTTGAAAGTAGTCTAGAAGTGGTAAGGTTGTAGTTTTGAAGGTGTTCCACATCTGCTATATCTACTGATTTTTTTCTTTCTGCTGCTAATGGTGTTATAGTTGATTAACACCCCACTCGCACAAAAGCATTCCATCAACATGTAATTTAAACTCATTCCGCTCTTCTAGGAGCTCTCAAAGGATATTTATGTACAGTCCACAATCACAGTCCCCCAACTTGATTGTAGTGTTTGGGTTGGGGCCTTAGACCTTGCAGTATCAAGCTAAACATGAACAATGGTTTAATAAATCCAGACAGTGAGGATAGCCTGTAACCAAGGAAGAGGGTCCTGCCGTGTTCAGTGGTTATGTATGTATCAGGATGTCTCCCTAGTATTTTAAACCCCCTGACTCTAACTAGTGCTAGCTTGATGGGTGACTGCAAGCAGGCCCTCTCCTCTCAGCCTCCTTCCCCTCCTGGCTTTTGTTCCTTGACTTTGAGTTCAAGGGATGGTTTTTTGTTTTGTTTTGGTTTTTTTTTTTTAAGTCTGGTCCATGGGGTTTGCAGGACCCAGGACCTGGCTGAGTGCAGACTGGAGGGTGAAGTCCCTTTTCCTGCTCACGCAGACACGCGCCGGTCTTACCCGGCGCTTTGGGGGATGCTGCCATCACCTAGAGAAGTGACTAGGAGCTGGCTTGGCCATGCTGGTGAAGCGGGTATAGGAGGGACATCCCGGAGATGAGGGACATAGCGCTAATGAGGGAGGGGGTGCTACCGGGGCTTCCTGGCCTGGCGGGGACCCCGGAGGGGCTGTGCTGCTCCTGTGAGCGGCGGGGGCAGCCTCCGGGGCCCTGCTACTGGCCTCCACGGTGACGCCCCGACCGTGAGTACGGGCCGGGATCGGGATGGGGAGCCGGTGTGCCCGGAGGACGGCCAAGCCAGCGGGGCTGGCTCCGGGGCAGGCAGAGGCTGCTGGAGCCGGGCGTCTTGCCCAGGGAGCGCCCATGTGACGGAAGCCCAAGTCCCCGAACCTCCGGTGCTTTCCTTTCCCCTCCCCCCTCCATTTGTCTTTTTTTTTTTAACTTGTGCGGGTGGGTCGCTGAGGTGACAGGCGTTATTTCCGCTGCTGGTTATCGTTAGGCAGTATCGCACCGGGACGCGTCTCCCTAACACTTTACACACCCCCCTCCCACCCCTCACTCCCCCGACTCTCCCCGAAAACACGCTGCCTAATTAAACTGCAGCCGCGCGGCTCGTGCCGACGGTTGCCGTGGCCACTGTCGCCGGTTGTGTCCCCACGGGGCGAGGTTGCCTTGCCCGGTGCCTTCTGAAGCCGGGGGGGAGGGGGGGGCGGTGCGGGAACGGGGCACGGAGCCCGGCCGGTGGGGAGGAGGTGTCCCGCCTGTCCCCTGCCCGGCTCCCCGGGGGGGGCGACGGGGGAACGGCTGGCGGCGGCGGGGCGGGGCGTGGCGGGGCGGGGCGTGGCGTGGCGGGGCCGGCGACGGCGGCGCAGGCGCGGCGGGCCGGGGCAGGCGGAAGAGCCGGGGCGCCCCGAGCGCCCGCCGGGCCGGGCCGGGCTTAAAGAGCGGCGGGGCGGCGGCGCGGGTAAGCTACGCACCTTCCTCCCTCCCTCCCTCCCTCCCGCCGCCCCTCCTGCCCTCCCGGCCCCGCGGCGGGACTCGGGGAGCAGCGGGGCGCCGTGGGGTTTCGGCTTTTTTTTTTTTTATTTTTATTTTTTTTTTTCCCCCCTCCCTCTCCTGCCGGTTAAGCTGTATTATTTTTTTTTTTTTTAATTATTTTGGGGCGTTTTTATTCCTTTTGCTCCAGACAAAGCCCGGCGGGGCCCCGCCGTCAGGAGCCCCGAGGCGTCTCTCGCGTCCGTGTGTCCGTGCGTGCGCGCACACGCGCGGCGGGGGGCACGGGGAGGGGGGGGGGGGCGCGAGAGCGGCCGGTGCCGGCCCCGGCCCCGCCTGCCCGCTCCCGCTCCCGCCGGCAGCTGGGACTCGGTGCCGCCGTCCGAGCGCCGGGGCTGGGCCCTGCCGGTGCGCCGGGGGGACGGACAGGAGGGCGTCTGTTAGTCCCCGCGTAGGGCTGAGCGGGCAGCCCGGGGAGGGGGGACGGTGCCCCCCCCGCTGAATGGAGCCCGGGGCCGCCGCCGGTGATGCGGTGCCCGCCGCGGGGGCTGGCGGAGCGGCCTGAGCCCCCCCCCACCCCGCCGTCCGCCGGAGGCGAGCATGTCCAGTGAGCAGCTTAACAGGACAGCGGTGAAGGATGCGCGGTTAAAAGACCTGTTGTTGGACAGAGGTACCCGTTCGCGCGGCCGGCGTGTCCGTGGGGGCCGGGCTGCTGTGAGCTCCCTCCCCGGTTCGCCGGAGCGCAGCCCGGCCCGCTCGCCAGCAGCGCCCCGGGGCGCGGGGGGCGCTTCCCTGGAGCCCCGGGGCCGCCCCTCTGCGGAGGAGGGTGACGGTCCAGACGCTTTTGCTTGTGGGACTGTTGAGAGGGTTTTAAATTCTTTCTTTTTCTCCATACTCTTCTGCGGAGGTGTTTTCACTCAATATATAGTGGCCTTTTTCGTGTTATGTGTTTATCGTGAAAAATAGTCGCCTGGGGAAAAAAAAAAAAAAAAATTACAAATATTATTTCCTGCCCGTGAAGAAACAGGTATATGTGAGTGTGACGGAGAGACTGGGGGAGGCAAAATTGTTACCACTTCTTTTTCTGAAGCTCCCCCCAGTCTCTTCCCCAGTTAACTTATGGGAAGAGTGGGCAGGAGTTGCAGCCCCCCCCGGAGGGCGACGCTGCAGCGAGGAGGGCCCTGGCAGCCGGGGCAGGAGGCGAGGTGCTGGCCGGAGTCACCCAGTGCCTGTCGGCAGCTGCCAGAGACGGTTCCCATTGTCCTGAGCAGCGCCGGTAAATAGAGGCTGTTGCTGCTCTTCTCTCTTTGCTTTCCTCTGGTAATAACCTAATGAGTAGCAGGAGGGCCAGTCCGGAGGAAGAAGAGATTAAAAATTGCCTTCCCCTTTCCTTGCCCTCCACTTTCCAGTGAGGAAATCCTCTACAACATCAATCAGTAGGGTTATTTTGCTGTGCTTTAGTGTTTGCGGTGTGAGGCTGGACTTGGAAAATCCTGCGTGCTCACACCTGTATGCTGTGGCTTTCTTTTTTTTTTTTTTTTTTTTTTTTTTTCGTTGTATGGCTATGCTTTAGTCAAACGTTTCCAAATTAACTGCCTCCTCTCCCCCAGGGGAAATACTCACAGACCCAATAATTGATTTCTAGAGCAGAGGTACCATCTCCTGCCACGGAAATGCTGGGGCCTTGATAAATTTAGAAGACTCTGCCCTTGGCAGATAGAGAAGTAACATGTCATTCCAGTGATCTTTGCATTCTAGGAAAGCCTAAATCAACATTGCTCGTTTTGCATGTTGCCCTTTAGCAACAGTCTCTCAATTTCCAGTCTAAAGTATTACATGGACCCCAAAAAAATCTTTTGGGTAAAGAAACCCTTTAGTATTTGGTAGCTGCAGAATGTGAACCGCAGCAGTTAACTGCATCAAGTCTGTATTCTCTGTGTCTGAGCTGAGAAAAACTGACTTTTCTGGTATATATGGTTTTGGTGGGCTTGTTTTTTAATTAATTTTATGATTCCTGCTTTTTGATCTTTTGGTGCTGACATCATTAGCTCCCAGTGACTTGGGGGGGAGGGAAAGATTGCTGCACTGCATATAGGATTGATAGCAAAGGCAGAGCAAAGCACTGACTAATCAAATTTTTTTTAAACGTTGGTGGTCTTAAAGATGAGTGGATGGTACTTAACAGCAAAGAGAAATTGATAGATGTATTGTTGCCCGTAACTCTTTCCTTAGCCTTAAATAGATTTAGTTACTCCTACCAAGATGGTCACCAGACCCTCAGCACTTAGATGGTGGCATGCCTGTGCCCACTGAAAACCTGTGACAAACAGCTGGACCTTGGCACCAGCCTTCACTGGGCACCAGCGCACGTGCTGCTCCTGTAGTCTGAGGTTTTGTTCGCGAGAGATCTTAGAACAGTGAAGCAGCCTTGGGTTTCTTTTCGTTTCACCCACTGGTCGTTTTGGATTTTATACGTGAACAGCATTTTCCTAGCTCAGCTTCATAGTCATGTTGTGTTTGCATAAGTGTACTGCTCTTACACAGAAGGCTGAGGATGACTACAAATGAAAGAGATAAGGGGGTGGGGGTGGGGGGGAACAGCTTGTTTTCTCTGATGTTTTCTTTTTCTTTTTATATTTTGTTATCCTTCTTTCCTCACTGGCTTTTTAAAACAGAAATGTAATATCAGTTGCCCAAAATTCATGTTTTAGCGCCCAAAAGTAGTGCCATTTTTGGAAAGTGCTGAAACTGAGCAACTCGCGCTGCTTCTTTGCTTTTTCTACCAGCCTAGCAACCAAAGACCTCCTCCCATTAACTGGAGTTGGCTTTCAAGATGAGAGCATCCCCTGTGAGCAATGCAGTTTCCATAGAAATATCAGCAACTGTGTAACTCCAAAGGGCAATTTCTCCCCTTACATTGCTCATCCTTGCTGCTCCAGTATAGCCAAAAGGGTGCAAGAGTGACTCATTTCTAAATATACTTAATATTTGTGGTATAGGCAGGACTTCAGATAAAATGATGGGCTCTGGTGGAGTTCATTGTAATTGTATCTCTTGCAACAGCCAAAGCCTCAGTTTCATTTTTAACCATAGTGGAACATATCTTGGTTTAGAGTGCCAGATCTCTTTTTAGATTTTTACCTGAATGGGAATGTCCTAGAAAAGTTAATTTTACTCTAGCTGGAGAGAATTAATTGAAAAAGACATTGCTTGTAGATTCAATAGGAAAAAAGTTTGATTTCCACTTGATTTAGGTAGCTTTTGTGCAATTTAGCTGATAAAAAAATTAAGGATAGTTTGCTAGATAGATTCCTCTCTCTGTGGACTCTGCTTTGAGGATTATGGAGCCCTCTGGACTCTTGGCATTGTAGATGGCTGTTTAAAATAGGGTGCACTTTGTGTCTGTGGGTTTGGTTTTTATCCCCAGTAAAATTGTTGTTTTATCCAAAATGTTTGTCTGTGGTGTTTATAGTGAAGAATTTATTACCTATGAAGGCTGCAGAGAAGAATCACTAAGAAGTTTCTTAGCTTTGACCTGCAACCGTTCATACCAATTGATCTGCGATGCCAAAACATGAATAATTTTCATAGTACTTTTCTTTGTAAAACTTTGCAAAATGGACAGCAGTGAGCATCTTGCTTGAGATCAATCTTGAAATACTGAGGGGTTTTCAGATTATTGCTTTGATGGATAACATTCTGTGTGTGACTGACATTTTCCTCTCTTTTTTTTTTTCTTTTGTTTTAGCTGAACTGGAGTTTGTTCAAATCATCATTATAATTGTGGTTATAACTGTTATGGTGGTAGTGATCATCTGCTTGTTGAACCATTACAAACTCTCGACACGCTCCTTTATCAACCGACAGAGCCAAAGCAGAAGACAGGAAGAAACTTTGCAGACGGTGAGTATGAGCCCCTTGGACTGAATTCCTTCTTGTGCCATACGTGCCTGCAGCAGAGCCTCCCGAGGAGTATAGGCAACTGTTGGAAAAACTTCTGATGTTGCTTTTAGTGCTCCCTATAGTTAGGTCTTTGGCTGAGGTTGTATTTGTCAGTAGAAAAAAAATTGGAACATAAATTTAAGTTAGACTGTCTTTGATTGTTTTTAGACTCTGCTGTGTTTTGTGTAGCATATTTTCACTTTTGCATTTGGAGGTTCAGATGTGACATCCTCTTTGCTGCTGCTGTAATTTGGAGGGGAGTGGAGAGGAAATGAATGGAAGTCACCTGGGGTAGGAAGACTTGAAATACGTGTTGTTGTGACTTTCCATATATTTACTAATATCCTGGAGTTTTATCACTATTACTGTTTAGTGAAGCAGCATTAACTGTTTGCTGGATCCAAACCACTGGTCCAGTAATGGCCCAGGAAAATGTAATGTTCGTTTCATTGAAACATCAAGAAAATACTAGCAAGGTGGTCCCACCAGGGACCTGGAGTGGTTAAGATGTGTCATTACAGAGCTAAAGGCTTAAGACCAGATCTCGGTTGAGACTTTTAAAGGCTATCCCTAGTCAACCCAGCAGTAGATGGGCACTTGCCTTGCCTTGTGAGCCAGAAGTTTGCTGGGTGGGGTGCACTGCTCCCTTGTGAGGCTTAACCGCAGGGTGTCCCTGACCTTCAGACATCCCCGCAAGCCTGCAGTGCCAGCAGTATCCGGCGATGTTGCAGGGAGGTCCTTTTTCTCATATACGTTTGGATGTCCTCAGAGTGGTGCCCTTGGCCTCTTTGCTGACTGCCATGGCCAAGGGGCCGTTGGTGAGGGGAGCCTTTTGATGCATTGAATTCCTGGCAGCAGCATTGGGTTCACAGCTTCATTTCATTTCCCTGTCAAAAAAAGTGGTCTGATTGTAGCTGGAAGGCACAGTCCTGTAATGGTTTACACCAGTCATAAGTCCATAGTCTTGTTTTTATTTCCATCCCAGTCCCATGTTTCCTCCTTATTTGTGCTCCTTAAGGAGCTGCTAAGGTTGTGGCGAGAGGCCTCAGGGGGTTGATCTGGCTGAACACTAATTGCTTTTATTTTTTTCACAGTTAGATTTCAACCAGATGAGTGAGCAAAATGCCCAGGCAGGGGAGGAGGCAGGGATGCTGCAGTCCAGCCTGGCAATCCTGGCAATTGTCAGCTCCCTCCTGAAAGCCAGCTGTAAAATGTGACAAGCCCAGGGTCCCCGGAGCTCTCGCTTCGCACATCACCTGCACCCCTTTGCTGGGGTGAATAGCCCTTAGCCTGGAGGCTGCACGGGGAGAAAAGGAGCTGTCTCCTCAAGGGGAAGTTGCCTCATTCCTAGCATTTTGGTAGCGCAGGAATATTTAGCTCTAATTTGGTTACAGACACAAATGGAACTTGTCAAACCTTAACCTTGTGGACTTCAGGGCTGGAAAAATTGGGTAGATTAATTTGAGTGTTGCTTTGAAATGGATGCTTTAATTAAAGAACCATGCTTCTGTCTGAAAAATGTTAGCTATAATTGATATAAGTACCTAAAATGAAATAATTTGAGACAAAGGAGATACATTTTCATCTTCACAAATCTTTTAAAACTGCAGTAAGCTGTCAAATGTGTGAAGTAACGCATTATTTCCTTTGTATGGTTAGTTAGTGTTGTCTGTTACCAGAGCAAGTGATGCCTTTTCTCATGGAAGCAAGGGAGGAAACCTCACCTTCTTGTGAAGAAGAATGTGCAGTTTGGCAGTGGGGACTTGGGAGTGACTTTAGTATCCAGAACTGGTCTTAAATAATCTTTAAAACACTGACTCAGTTTCAGTTTGGCACCATTGTAAGTAATGATAATCATAGCCAGGTGAGCACTTCATGGGAATTGACGGTTGGTTGGCAAGAACCCCAAGAACCCGTTACTAATTCTTCTGAAAACTCTCTGGTGTAGATTTGTCATCATAATTACTCATCTGGATTTCTGATAAGATGCAGGTGTTCTTAAAAGAAGGTCATACTTGTGGGGAGTGTGACTTTGGAGGTCTCTTGAGGTCAGATGTCAAATATGTTTGAATTTTCCTTTGTCTCAGGTGCTAGAAGGGAATTCTGATAGAAACTGGTTGTGTGCTGCTTGTAGTGCAAACCTTAAGAAGTTTGTGGTGCATGAGGGTCAGGCAACTAAAGCATTTGGTCTGTGATGTGAAACTGGAAGCAAGCAGTCTGTTCTCATTGTCCATGGCAGAGTGAGTAGCACAAGGCAAATAAATAGCGTGAGCAGGAAGATGCAGGTTAGATTACATGCTTTTGAAATATATTTATTTTTTAACCAGGCAGGCCTTGTTCTGTGTGCAAATGCTATTGGTAAACAGATTCTCTTCCAAGGGATTGTGGGTTTTTTTCATGGTATATAGACTCTGAAAACAGATTTAAATGTTTATTAACTACTAATGTCTGAAGAAAATATCATTCTGACTCAGGCCTTCTGCTGATGGAGAAATAGTGAATGGAAATAGAGGAAGTTCTGCTGTATTAAAAGAAAATAGTAAAGCAAATTAGACTCTTGGCTAGTTCCTGTAGTGAGCTATTATACCCTTTACTGAGGTAGCAGAGGTGTCTCAAGATGCAGAATCATGCCTTTCCTATTCAGATGGACCTTTTTTTCGTCCTTTTGTTACCTTCAATTTTCCTTTTCTTCATTCTTGTCTTATTTCTATATAATCATGCCTTCCAACAGCTGAGTTGTAGCTGAATTGCACAGATTTCTGATCCCATAAAGACCAACTATCAAACAGATGATCTCTGATTCTTCTAGAAAGTGTAATAGAAATGAACAGTTAAATTATCTACTGCCTTTATTGCCAACTTCGTATCTGTAAAACTCATGGGGTAAGGCCTCCAAAATAATGGAATAAAAGGTATTTGTGGGTTTCTTCTTTAGCTGAACTTCCTTCATGTTAAAGAAAAGTCCTGGAAATTGAAATTCCTATTGTCTTCCAAGTCCAGAAATTAGAGTAGTGATAAGATGAAACATCACTGGAATCACAAATGTTCGTGACACTTAAAGGGAAGAAAAGGGACCAATCCCAGAAAAAAACAAAGTTATTCTGACAAGTACATGCTGAAATGTAGATGTTACGTCGCTGTTCTGTAAATATGCTTTCCTTTTTTTCTTATCTGTCCTGCTTTTCCTTTTCACCCCCTATGAAGTCTAATCTTTCCAGTCTTTCTCCTGGTCTTTGTATTTGAATACCTTGGCTAGTGTGCTGAGGCCTTAAACAGATCACATCAGGGACGGGACAACCTTTGAGTGCTCAGGAGTACTGGATGCTTCTGCAGCAGTGCTGCCAAGGATGCTGCCTGCCCTCCCATGGCAAGCCCTGCCCTCCCTTGGTGTGGATATTAAAAAATTCAGAGCCTGTTTTAACATTAGCAGAAATATGAGTTTTGGGGTCATAATGTGAGAGGTAGAACAGTGCTGAGTGATGACAGTGTTGGCAAGAGCGGCGACCTGAAGTGAGCATGCACAGTACTGAGCAGTGTCTAGATCTCAGTGGGTAAAAAGTTGAGCGTTTCCCCCTGCTGACTGATCCATCAGCAGTGTTTGGCTTCCCAGCCGGGAGCCAGCCAAAGTTTGCAGAGCATCTGAGGGGGATGCAAAGGCTGTAAGGGTGCGGGATATACCAGGAGCATGAACAGGAAGACACAACCTCTCCTGTGGGAGCAACTGATGCTACCAGCGGTGCTGGGGGCTTTCAGGGCAGAGCCACGTGGCAGACTTGGAAAGGCACATCTGTGCACAGGGTATGTCAGTCTGATGTCCCAGGGGAGGTACGTGTTGTGGCGTTGCTGGTAGTGCCTTGGGAAGGCTGAAGTCGTATTGGGAGGGCAGCGTTGTTGGTAACCAAAACCATCCTGTTGGAATGTAGTGAGCTGCAGCTGCCGTGGCACTTTGCTGTTTGCTGGGATAAAACCAAGATAAATCTTGCTTTCTGATGATTAACTCTTAGTGTCATCACCAGTGATTTCCAGGGGGACGTTGAGGGAAAAGAGATTAACTAACTGACTTACAGGGAGGTACTTAATGAGCTTCTGATGTTCCTAAATTGATTCCTTCTCCTCATCCTGGTGGCTTCTGTCTTTGCATCTTTTTCTTTTATAAAGTGGATGTCGGGGGAGTACTGAACACTTGGACTGCCCCAGGCCCACTCCTGGCAGCAAAGTCCTTGCATCCATCATTCAAGATGCTCGACCTGACCAGCCCCTGCCTCCCAGCACCGAGGGCAGCATCGCTGCTAGGGCGAGTCAGCTTGCATTAGGACCTGCATTGATAATGCCCATCTTGAATGGTAAGGTCCAGGAGCACAGCTGCAAAAATACTGCCCTCCTTCTTGAAACAGCTATTTCAGAATAAAATGGGGACATCGGGAGGGTGACAGAAAATATTCAATAATATTGATAACTCCAGGGATTTGTCGGTGACTTCAAATGTTAGTCTTGCCTCTTAGCCTTTTAAGTTATTCCCTGCCGGTGTTAGCATTATTCCTTCTGTTCCCTGCTGGCATCTCTGGCCCACTCATTCTCATTTTCTTACTGATGTGTGTGAAAGGAAGAGAATCTCACTGAGTTCAAGAACCCATTCTATGCCCGCGAGAGAGTGTGAGTGCTGTAGACCACTCTGCTTTGCCAAACATTTTCCAGACATCAGCTGGCAGGAGCTGGACGTGCGCTGTGATCTCCTGTCTGCAGGAGGGACACGGGCTTACCTCTCTTCAGGGAGTGCTGCCAGGAGGGACAGCGTGCGCTGCCTGCTGCTCTTTGAAGTCTACCACAATAAAGTCAGAATATCTTTAGTGAGGGCAGGATCATCTAGGAAACCTGCAGGTAGGACTAGAAGTGGGGAAGCGCCGGCTTCGGGTGGCTCCAGACTTGGTGTGTCACCGTGGGCAACTTGCTTCATCTCCAAA